TATATATATATATATATAATATTCAAAATAAAGTTTAAAGATGTGCAATTAATTATTCACAAATTATACCTCGTCGTCGTGAAGCTTAAGCATGATTTTTTAGCACTTGACGGTTAAATTAAGTGTTGAGTCTGGTTTTAAATAATTGGAGAGTTGTGTTTATTGTTAGTGCTATTTATAATCTATATTTTGAACCTCAATGCCAAGATCAATGACTAATTTTGTGTGTTTAATCTGGATTTTTGTCCAGAAGCTTCACACCACATTGAAGGTGAGAACGAAGAATTCCTGAAGAATTTACAAGCCTGAAATTCTTGATCTAAAGACCTGTCACAATCTAGGAACACTATAATGATATAGCGCCATATATTGAATAATCTGAAGCATTTAGAATGATTAATTCCATGCAGAATATATCAGATCTTGTAAATTTGACTAAACTAGAGCAACTCAGCATATATATAGGAAGTGAGATTGTGATGACCTATGAGATATACCCCTCCAATCATTTTATAAAGGAGAGACATGTTTCAATTGTTATATATGTCATTTCTACTTCTAAAATTTTCTTTCCCTTAAAAAATAACTGCAATTTAATTAAGCATATTTACACATATTAATAACAACAATAAGTATATTGTTTTCTATAATTAAAAGTGTACTACAATAATTCCACTCTTTTTTTTAAGGAAGAAATAATTTCACTCTTTTAATGAAAACAAACATCTATTACTTTGAGACTTTTAAAATATTAAAACTGCATTTATTTTGGGGGGGAGAGAGAGAGAGTATTCGATACAAAGTGTAACAAAAGAAAAATCTGTACAAAGTAGTGCTAAATTCAACCCTTCAATCTTTTACTATCAAATCAAGGAATTAGCTGAACCTTTAATGGTCCAACTTATATTAGGAGCATTAAAGCCAAATCCATTAAAAAATTTGGACGCCAAAAGAGAATAACGTGAAACTTTTATATGGCTTCGTTCCTTCCTTGCAACCACACAAAGTTTAAGATGATGCTATGCTTAACCAAACCTTTATATACTGTTACATCTTTCTTTCTTTCTATCATCAGTTTCTCCTATCACTATTCATTTTTATGCCCATTGAGGCTCATTGTACGTATAAATCATTTCTTTTTTCTTGAGTTTACATTTTTTCACAAGGGGACTCATGCCATTACCATATGCTATAATCATATTACATTTCAAAAGCTCATCAATCGCATCCTCACCTACTTCCTCCATAAGTAATCCTCTCTAGGTGTGATTTTTATGATAATATTTAACCATCTACACTTCCTTGCAATCACAAGGTGTTGACTCATCAAAAGTGGCATCTCTTGATGGCATGAGTGAAAAGGTGCACTTGGATCCCTCTTCAAGCCAAGTCAAGGATGAGTTGCATGATCAAGCCTTGAATCAGAACATTCAAGGTCAGTTGTGAAGAACTTAAAGATGGTGTAATGAAACTTTGCTTGTTGTCTCTCTTGGTCTTCCCTGAAGATGGTGTTCTAAGGAAAAGACATACAATTTATTGGTGTATTGGGGAGGGTTTTGTTAATAATACAGAAGAGAAAACAGCTGAGGAAGTAGGTGAGAATGTGATTAATTAATGAGCTTTTGAAATGTAACATGATTGTACCATATATGGCATGAATCCCATTGTGAAAAAAATTATAATTAATCCTCACATTCGTGGTAAGTTATAATTGGAGTCATTAGTGTCATGAGAAAACCAACAACATCTTGGATTTTCTCTTCGAATATCATCCTCTCATCATGCTTGGTTAGTCCTTGAGCAATACTAGGTGATAAGAATCATTTTGAAACTTGACCTATGGAAAACCATTTTTAATAATGTTGGCTAAAATGAAGAATTTATTGGTGCTTCAGCTTGGTTCGTTGGCAATAAAATCATAAAGCTGGATAGTAGAATAGAGGAAATAAACCTTTGTTATGTATTGGAACTTTGTTGTATATCTTTTATTTTCCAATAAACTGAACATAGTTTTTGGATAAATAAGTGAATTATTTAAATTTTATTAAATTAGAAAATATGTTGAACACATGATTTAACTCGATGTATTAATTTTAGATAAATTTCTTTTATATATAATTAATAAGTTTATCATTACAAATTTTTCTTATCGTTTTTATATTGAAATAATATTTATAACAATAATTTAATATTTCACCTCTTTAGCATAATATTCAACTTTACATTTCTACTGCAAATATTTTATATCTTTTGACAAAGTCTTATTAAAGATGTTTTCTTCTTATAAATTTTAAGACAAAAGAACAATATTTTTTTTTAAGCACGAGTGAGCTATATTTTCAAGTTTAGTTTAGAGTTTATATTAAATATTTTAATATATAAATATATATATATATAACTATTAATATTAATTTTTCTTTCATACATTTTTTTTAAGAGCGTAATGAAATGGTTTAAAATTTAAGCAAGAGAAAATTATCAACAAAATTTGGAGACATAAAACGAAAACTTTAAACAATAAAATAGAAGAAAAAATATTACAAAGTATTTTAATATGTAATTCACAATTATAGATGCATGAATTAAATAAGAAAACTACAGGTAATTAGTATACCTGACATTTTGTATAATGTCTACGCCAGGAGTTATAAATAATTTTTTATTGAAACTAAATCAGTTTAACATTTTTGAGGTTTTGAGTATTTAATTTAATAATGATTAAGTAATTTTAAAAATGACATTAGTTATTAGTATAATAAGACTGAATATATAATTGTACTTCGTTGATAGTATTAGCATTGTACCAATAATTATAATATATATATATATATATATTTTTTATTTTTACTTTTTAAAAGTTATTTATTTAACTTTGTTCTGAATTAGATTATTGATTGTTAAAAAAATTATATATTAAAACTATTATTGGAAGAGTTACAAAAACACAAAAACCAAATTAAATGCTTTGCAAAGGATTGTTTTTTTCTTGTAATGTATTTAGTGGACTTAATGAATTTTAATTAGGCCTCTAGACTCCAGTAGTTTCCTTCAGGGGGCTGGAATATACATGTTATTAAGCCTCTCTTAGATCCTTTCCGTACTTGAATATATATATATATATATATATA